TTGCTAGCATGATTGGAATATTGTTGTACAACATGGACCTTCAATTCGATGACCAGTACGCGTGCTATATTCATTTGAAGATACTGTAACGAATAGGTTATACTCCAAGTGATGGCGAGTAGAAGAGATTGACGATCTATATCATATACGCGTATAATTACAGTTTTTCATCATTCTGCTTAGCAAACAGCTTTGAAGGATTCCTTGCGCAACTGATATGATACAGGTAGTCTAGAGGAAAGGGATAGTATTGATGCGCAAATGAGTGAAGAATGAGGTAGCTAAGTATGGTTGAATCATTGGTAGAAGCAGAATAGTGTCTCAACCTCAACAAGAAGAGTTTAGGTTGGGATCTAGCTGCAACGGTGCTGCAAGTTATGCAGGCACGTACATTTCACCTTGCAACTTGTCAATGCTGCCTAGCATAAATGATTTTCAGCACTACGTTAGTGTTGGCCGTCTACAGGCCAAACTCGGTAGTCATTTAGCATACAGAGTAGGAATACTGTATATTCATTGGAGAATTGCTTTGCAAGCAGCTCAAAGGCGTCGAGTTCGACATTAGCAATACTAACGATAGCACAACCTCCACAACCACCACCGTAGGGCAAAGGTTCTCTGCAAGGTAATCTATAGCGTAGTCTTGGTTTGTTTTTCGTAGGCGTATGTTTAATCCTCTCATGACCCATATGGCATACGGTAGATGGACAATCTACTAGTTTAGGCTACTAGAGCGTAAAACTGCTCTCGTCTTGGAGCTGCATGTTTGTGCTCGTCTAGTGCTCAGAGGCGTTTCTTGAACTCGGTGTATCATCCAGCATCGACCATACTATATAGCGACATGGATCGACTCTGCTGATGAAAGCGACGTAGACTACCCCAATAAGAGCATCCATTTTATAAAACTGCATGTGTCTTGATACAAGACTGTCTTACATGAAGTATGATAATATAGCTTGCCCTGATAATATACAGTACTTGATCTTATTCCGATCGCGTAACTATTAGCGCATACTGAAGTGAACCAATACGCCCAAGTTGCACACAGTTAAGCGGAAATGCTTATTGTGAATTGAAGGAGGCTCTACTGACGATGACTTTGTGTAGATTTAATTTGCCCGTATTTGTAGCTGATCAATAGGTTATTGATCGAGTAGGCTGAAAGGTTGAATTTAGAGAGGGAATTGCCTGTACTATTTGTCCTATTGCTGAATTAGAATAGAAGGTTTCTATACCGGCAATTGGAGCTCTGTCGATGAAAGTGCCTCCTCTAGTAGTATACGTCATGAAGAGCAAAGTTTCTATCCAATGCTTGCTAGTCAATCTCTTCTAGTGTAGATACACACCGAGAGTAAAGTTGTTCTACTGTACTGTATATGTTGCTAGTGACAGCAAGATTTCTCCACTTGTTAATGGAGCTGTGGCGATGGCAATAATCGCCTCGAGCAGTCTAGCGTACATCCTAAGAGCAAAATTTCTGTACTTGTTGATGTAGCTCTGCCGCTGAAAAATGTCTTGTCTCCTATTGTCAAATACACCCTCATGGCAAAGTGAAGAATTCAACGCTAGCATACTCATTTTTTTTTAATAACGCCTTGATAAATTTTCCATCACGCTGTTAAGGTACGGACCTGCGAACCCTGCTGAGTTGAAAAATCATTGCAGGGTTGCTTGCAGCACAGTAGGCATGCTGTGATAATCTGCTCCATCGTAGTACTTCATCCAAGTTGGCCATGCTGCGGGTGGTGGCATCCAATGGTCATGATTAATCAAGATTGAGTCATACCTGCAAGTCCCTACTTTGCAGTAGGAGGCCTAGAAAAGAACTAACTCATTTGCTTGACTGCATTTTTAGTCCTGATAGGAAAGCATAAAACGACGAAAGCGATCTCAACCCCGTCTACTGTATTTTAAAAGTCTACCGGCAAAAAGCAAAATGAAACAATCCCACTCTACCCAATGATTGCATACGAATTGCACCATTATGACATGAAAAAAGACACCAAGTCAATTGATGCTACGACAGGAAAATCTTTGTCCTATCTCACTGTCTAGTCTTGTTTACTAATAGTGAATTCTAATGTTAATTACTCCATCAATTGCTTTTCCATGTGCACCGCTTGGTGCTGTCCGCCATGATTGAATGGTGCAAACCCTATGCATGTAATATATACGGTATAGTCGATGGAGGACAACCCACATGGCGCTCTTCCATTTTGCCTTGATGGAAGCTGATAGAAACTCCTATTGCTTGAGCAATGTCATCAGTAGCAATTGGATCGTCACTATGGCGTCTTATTGACCGGCTGATAGACTGACTAGGAGACACGCAGTATTGTAGCCCAAGTTGGTGTCTCGTAGTCATACTGTAGCATAAAGAGTGCCGTTGTGATTTCTAGCCAACGAATGGTGGGATCGTTTGCCAGAACGTCAAGTGACTCTTGGGTCCTGTACCCTTGTTTCTGCCTAGTGGAGGACGATGTTACAGTGCTGTATAGAACAGTCCATTGGTCACTGTATTTTACTATAGAAGCTTGTTGCAACTAGCTTGATATTGTATTTTGGACCGATTGTGGGTAGACTTGAACGCTGATTGATTGAACAACAACGCCATGTTGGAGGTATTACTCTGGCTAGAAGCACACACATCTACAGTACAGTATTAGGACTCGATCACTGCAATCCAGAAGAAATAATCCTTCCTTCCCCCCCCCCCCCTTCCCTCCTAGTAGCCATACTGTGTATCTTGCGTGGCGATCGAGCCATGAAAGGGGTGAATCGTTCGATGAATGACTTGTCTGAGTGAGTCAGTGTGGCAATTATCATGACTAAAGCAACCGCACCCAGGTGACTCATGATACAGTCATGTTCTGGGTGGATGTCACCTGCATAACAATAACAACAATAAGTTATTATCTACAGTCAATCACCTGTGCGATCGTGGCTAACCAAAGACAAAAGACTTTCCAAGTCAATTCTCTTTCTTCTTGTTGATCATCCACGGTGGACGCCATTTCCATCTAATATTGACCAAATGAGTAAGGTCATCATGATGGAAGCTTAGCCAATGCAATGGCAAGAGCAGTATCCACATACTGTGGCCGGCCATTGATGAATGATTAGCTTATGTATGCAAAATTGATTGACTCTTCACATTAAGCATAACATTGAAAAAAAAACATTGAGGGAAAAAATAAAAATAGCATCATCAAGATTGCTTTTCGATCGATTCATTATCTATTTTTAAAATTAATCTTATCTATCTTTTTGCATATTCAACTTGGTAGGTCTATTGTTTGTCTATTCTTTCTATCTACTCTACACTCTGTTATCTATTGTTGAGCGCATTATTGTATTATTTGTCACCGATTCTTTTTTTTTTTTCCACCTGGAGATTGAATGATTGTTTTCTATGCCAATGATTGGCACGTTGTCCAACAAAAAATGCAATCGCTAGTCATTGCCTTCGGACACCGATCAATCTTGCCTAGTGGTAACAATAGAATGATGTTCTAGTCCACGCGTTAATACATTTGCATCAGCCTTTTGAGAGCGAGCTAGCAATTGCTTTAGTCGGTAGTAAATACGCGTAGATCAATTACCTTGATTCAATACACATCATAGCATTTATCATTATTAGCATTCATTTGCCAAACCAATCGATAGAGACAGAGAGAAAGAGAGAGAAATCATTTGCGCTCCAGCCAAAATTGAAAAGTGAGATAGCCTTATTTTTTGCGGGCTAGATAGAAATAATTATTATCAATATCCAATGACCTCGTATCGATTAAATTGGTACAATAGATAAAAATGAATACAGACTTGGATGCAAAAAGGAGAACGTCCATGTAGAATTAACTGTTGAAATTTGCCACTTGAATTAACATCTTTTGTGTTGATGTGTTGCTAGTGTGGATGGATAGTTAGCTTATCTTATTACATCTTGATTATTATTTTTATTAGGTTGACTTGGAAATTACAAATTGTCTATCCACATCATCAACAGAATCCGGTATTGTTATTATCAAGACGATTAAAATAGTAAGTAAAGAATGCAATAGAAAAGTAGTCATCAAGACATGGATAGCTAGGAGCGTATACTTACTCCATACACATCAATACACAGAAAAAGAAATAAACAAAACTTGTAAAGAATAATCGACTCTACTTTGATCATCATCATCGTCCTCATCATAATAGTATTACTCGTAGTAGCCTGGCTAATAGTAGTAGTAAGAAGTATAGTAGTAGACTTGGTGCGCTTTGAAATTTTCATTTTCAATCATTGACATTGGCACTGTAAATTATTCAAAAGTCAAGTAAAAAGTTGAAAGCAACTTTTGTCTGTCGAATAGGAAATCGTTCTTTCATTTTACTCTACATAATTCTTCTTACATTACACGTATAAGCGATTACATAACAACACGTACAACTTTCAATATTAATCGCCTTTAAGTAGAGAGTGAGAAAAAAAAAATTAGACTCAGCAGTCATTGGTATTTATATCTCTTTCTTTTCTTTCTTTCTATCGATCAACCTCTACCTGTGTATGTATATATATTTATTGATATATATGCTGAATCGACATCGACTTTAAATCAACCATTATCCAATCTCCCACTCCTAAAAAAAAAAAATTGCATTAAAATAATATTGCATAAAATATGAACAAGATGGGTTTAGAAGAAACGATTGATCATCATCGTCAGCAAGACCAACCACAGCAACAGCAAGAGATGAATAAAGATGGACAAGAAATACCTCTAACCAATAATAATAATAATGATCATCAGAATAAGCTGGAAGCAACGCTTTGCAATAATCAACCCCAGCAAGATATCAACGAAGCCAACAATAAAAATGATCAAGCAACATGCAATGATACAACTACAACGACCATAGCTTCTACGCCAGCTGCAAATCAAGATAGTGGCAATAAAACCAATGATAAAACCACTACATCAAGTTATATTCATTATCAACAGAAACCACCTTATTTGCAAAAGGATACTACCTATACCAAACTCTTTGTTGGTGGTTTGCCTTATCATACTGATGATGATTCATTACGTGGTTATTTCGCAACTTTTGGCGAGATTGAAGAAGCTGCCGTAATTTATGATCGACAAACTGGTAAATCCAGAGGATATGGATTTGTAAGTAATCGTTTTCCTATTATTATTTTAGACTTTACAGTGGATTATAAGTAGGAAGGAAAGATATGATTTGCATGATCCTTTGTTTGATTGGTTAACGTTGACCATTAAGCAATCTAGCTTTGAAATCCTACATCACAGAATGAGCTAAAAGCTATCGTTTTCCAAAAATATCGTATCAATCTATTGACATTATCTTTTCCCCCATAAAAGTAAAATACCCTATCAAAAGAAAAAATTGGTTGCATGATCCATTCGTAGCCTAATGAATATTATTATTCAATCAGGTTATACATACAATCTTATTTCATACTCTAATAGAATTTCAATGAATCTAGTTCATAATCGATTTCCCTCTAAAATAGAATACTATAACAAAAAATAGACCTAAAACTTTCCTTATCGCCTGTAGTAAAAATCACAACAGTACGCGCTTTGTGGTGATAGTAATCGACTTTTCCTTGGATTCAACTTTATTTTATTCATTCATTTTTATGCTATACTGCCGTAATTTTTCAAAATAATATCCTTCTTAGTTTTATTTTTAGTTTTGATAATGATCGAAATAATATTGATGATTAGGAAATACGAATAGAAAGGAAGATTGATAAGATCTCCTTTGAAAATAGTAATTTTCCATTTTTTTCATGTCGCTTGATTCCGAAATGATTTTCAAAATTTTTAAATTTTAATAGATCCTATGCATGGCATTGGAAAATGCATTTAAATGATTAATAATAATCACTCCATATCTCCATCACGCTAATTACTATAAATCTTTTATCATTTTTTTTCTATTTTTATTAAATGATTTGCATCAACTTTTTCAACTACAGCTTCCTTAATTCACTACTTGACAAACTAAAGCTATTGTTGTTGTTGTTGTTGATATGATGATTCAATCAAGTCATAGTCTAAGTAGTCAGATATTATTTTAACTTGGATAGGTAAAACTAACTTATTTTACTTCACAAATTAATGTTGATCTTTCTTGACTTCTTACCGTTATTAATATAACGTTCACAATTTCTTTCAATAGTCTACAACATACTAACAATAGATTTTACTTTGGACTTTCAATCTAGTTGATTAAGGAAATGTATTAAATTTTTTTTGTCGTTTTCTCTCGACTCTCGTCAGCCAACTGTTTAGCAAATAAGGATTGGCTAACTCTTGTTTTTATTTTATTGGCTATGGTAGAGGTGTTGGGCAATGATTCATTACTATCTGCTTAGATAATATTCTACAGTTTACCGAGTATATCAACAATAATCATTACTGATTATTTCCATTCCAATTCATTATAATCATGTAATGAATTGTAAAAAATTGGACAACTTCTAATTCTATCTTTATTTTCTACTTTAATTGTCCAATTACTTGTTCTAGTTAGTCTTAATACCTAGTAATAGCGAGTACAGTAATAGAGGAAATAAACAAAGAAAAAATTCTTTTTCCTCGCTTGTAAAATTAGATTTCCTTCTAAAGTGAGCCATAACAATGTTTAACTTGATCCAGTAGTAAGAAAAAGGGAGATAAAATTTGCATCTCTAATCTAATTAGTAATAAATCAAAAATCAATATTAGCATTGATATAGAAATTGAATCACATTTCCCATTTTTCTTCTACCAATACCGTTAAATTGCATTTTTATGCTTCGCCAATTTTCCAGCGGGATAAATCGGCGTTGATTTTGGTATTCTAATATATCTATAGTGCATTAATTTATCTATCAATTTTTTTGGTCCTACCCTAATACTAGATGATGGAATCAATGGATAGTTTGATGTTCAATCTTTTACTGTAATGAAGATAGGTAATAATGTACTCGAAAAGTAGATCATACAAGATAAATAAGTTCTATCTGCATAATATCTTAAAACTGAATCTCCATTTTCTTAACCCATACTGTGAATAAGTGCAAAGATAATAGTTTGTATGACATAAGAATCTTACTTATCCAATTTTCATGATAAAAGAGACAAGTGCATCCAGGATCTATAACAATGATGATCTGCATCCTTTGTAGAGACTGTAAAGAGAGGATAGAATTTATATTCCAAGATCCAAATTGATTTCATTTTGATTTAGAAGATCAACATAAATCCCCGGAGATCGGATATTAGTACTGGATAATATTATCCTCAGTAATTGAATTACACTAGAATGGAGATATTTTTTCAATTTAAAAGTTATTCTTTTCCTCCTTTTCAAGCTCTATAATACAATCTACTAATAGACTTGTTCTTTAAAACTTATATTTTTACAGCTTTTTTCTTAATCAAGACATCGTATTTTATTTTGTCATTAATGACTGGAAAAGTAAACGAGATATTAAAGAGATATTGAATTAGTCAATGCAATTTATCCAATCGTTAGGACAAAAAATATTAAATTTGATCCACTTGATAAATCATCAATATCATTGATGATGGACTGAAATTTTATCTTGATGAAATCAAGCAACAAGAAATTCCATCGTTCTAGTTATTTGTGAAAGTCTGTTTTCATCGGAATCTATAGAATAATTACAGGAAAAAAACTATAGTGATAATCTATTATGATCAAGATTGAATGACTACGAGTATACGTTATATTGGACGGTATTAATCATTGCAAAAACAACCGGATATTCTGTTTAAGCTGTAATTAAATAATCATTTGTTCCTTCTTTTCTTCATTGACTATTATCCCATCATTTTTATTTTCTTTTTTTAAAGTATTGTTTGCCTTTTATTCTTTTCTCTTAATAAATTGAATTGTGTTTTAAATTAAATTAATTTCTCTTTTTTTGTCTGTAACGTTTGTTAAATTATTCATATATAGAAGTAATCGAATTGAAATCAATGAAGCTGATTGTGCGTTATAGGCCTTCTTGTTAAGTTTATCATCAGTCATGGCAAATATTCATTTGATTTCTCGATACCTATTTCTATTTTCTACCCTATTCGTCGACAATGTCAATAACCATATGATCAAAGTATTCTTTCCTGTTCTCTATCATCCCCAATTTGAATGTACAACATGTTACCACTCCATCTATTTTTTCTCCGCCTCTATAAAAATTAATTTAACTAATTGAAAATAGATATTACAAACGATTAGTGTTAAAATTAAATAATCAATTTCTTATAAATCAATCTTTTCAACCCCCAACAGGTGACTATGGTGGACAAAGAAGGAGCTACTCGTGCATGCAAGGATACAAATCCAATTATTGATGGTCGTAAAGCTAACGTTAATTTAGCTTACCTTGGCGCTAAACAACGTCCTAATGGCAACGGTTATTATCAAAATGGAACAGTACCAAATCATGTTAATATGAATAATAATTATAACCAAGGTAAGTTGGATTAATTCTCAACCGTTATTAGCTGTCATTCAATATGGTAGTTTAATACAAAAAGTATAAAACTGATGCATTAGATCTACTTTAATTTGGATACTTGAGCTGGGCTTCCTTGATTGCCTTTTTTAATCGTAACATGGAAGCAGATTGATTACTACGGTACTAACGATGATAGAATAAGATATCAACCATATTAACATGGAAGTAGATTGACTGATTGATTAATGTAGTACCAACGATGATAGAATAAGATATTAGCTATGTTAACATGGAAGTAGATTGACTAATGTACGGGACGATAGAATAGAATATCAGCCATGTCAACATAGAAATAGATTGCCGAAATTTTCAAAAGATAAAATAACCCAAACACGGACATTAAGAGTTATTTCTATATGTATATGTAATATATTGTCAGAGCACCATCGTGATGGAAATAGAGAACACACATTAACAAGTCAGAATAGATCAGCTATTGAAACAACGTTGTCGTAATTTATTATCCTTTCGTGCATCTACTGATTCCTATTTAAGGTAGAATGCAGTCACGAAAGTAGTGCTTCATATCCAATGAGAGTAGTAATAATAATATAGAAAAGAAAGTAATGGATTTATGCCATCCTTACAGCGATGAAGAAAGATAGCGTTTTCAACCGTTTACTAAAACTTTCAAACAAATATTAAATGATTCATTCAGTTATAATTATAATTAATTAGTAGCTATAGCTTTAAAAGAATTAGTTAGAATATTTTAAAAACTGAAAGAATTACAGTATAAAATGGTACAAGAATCCAGTAATAAGGTAGATAATTGAATTATAGCCTATTTCACAAGTATAAAAAAAATTACTAAACCTATATTTACAAAGTAGTAAAGTTTTTTACTTTATATTGGACTTCCTCAAAAGATTGTTGATATTGCACTCATTAACCTTTGGTAGTAGAATCTAGCAGTATATTAATAATTATGTAACGTATTCCGATATTATTATAAATTATATACTGTAGAATAAAGTAACACTTACTGGGATATTTAAAATACAATCTAACTTAATTAAATTAACTACATTAGAAGAATAATTTTTAAACAATTGAACTCACATACTGCAGCAGACTGTAAGACCATATTGCGATGTTGAATCTTGATCAAAAGAACAACTATACACTTTTCATACATAAAGTTCTATTAGTAGAGGGAGGAGATTTCTAAGTGATATCATCAAGTTTATGCCTATCTTTTATAATTCGTTAAAGTTTTGTGTCGTTATTACGTGATATATTGTAGAACCATTTACGTACTCTACATAAGTAGTTATTAAAACGCAATTAGTTCTAACTTATTTAATGCTAATAATATTTTTTATAAATTAAAAACTTATATTACTAATTCCGTATGATAGATATTGATATTTCATGCCCGTTATTTTTATGGTTCTATAAGATATGATTTATTTCCAAGTTGAATTATTCTATTGTACGGTTCACACATATAATAGAAGAAAAGCGTCTCTGATATTGACATAATACTGAATATATGTTTCATTTTCAAAGTATTTGATGTATTGAGGTTATCCTAGGGCAGAAATATCACTGCGTATTTCGATATGACTTAAATAGAAATATAGTTTTAACTTCATAGCTTGGAACTTGATCGAAATTTTGAAATAATTATAGTTGGTACGCGGGCCTATTCAAATATATTCTAAATTAGAGATGGGTACCGATATTAAATATAAACTAAATAAAGTAGATTTCCGTAATTAATTCTTTCTGTAGTATCGAGATCAAACCATCTAAGCTCTCTATTCCAGTTGCTGCAACTCATATCATGCACGATGTGCATTTTAATCATCAATAGCTATATAATTTAAAAACGTTAGTAATTTGCATCAGTAATGCTATATGCGCATTATATTATCGATTGCTATATAATTCATCAACGTTAGTAATTCATATCCGTCATCTATTTCAATGCTATAGCTACGACCAGAATTGTTCAAAGCAGTAATAAATCTGGTGTAATAACAACAACGAGTGGTTCTAATTACCAATCGACATCACAAAATCAACATTTCGGGTAAGTAGGCATACTATTCTACTCATAATTACATATATTATCTTTGAAATGCCACGTAATTTTCCAATGTCACGTCAATTGATCATACGCAGCTTATCATCAAGTTAAACATTTCATGATATATTTACCATAATAAATTTAATATAAACATTTTATAAATCTAACTATAATTGTATTATTCAAAGAACGTTATTATATTTTCTACTAATAGTTTTTATGTTTATTTGAACATGTCATCGCAATAGACATTTCATACGATAACTTTGCCACAGTATTTTTTATATTAGTATAGTGAAATGCAAGAAATATCCTTTACTATCATTGGAGAAAGTCATAAAAATTAACAAAAGAGTAAATGATTTAATGACGTTATTCAACATTATCACTTAAACCCATTGATAAAATACTGTATGAGTAAGTATTTTAGCATACTAAATCAAATTATCAGATTAGATTAATAGAGTGATAAAAAGTGCATAAATTGGTTAGTATAGATTTAGATTGATTTTCTAAGCTATTGTAACCTGGAAACAATCATTTCAGTTGAATAAGGATGCTCCAATCTAATTTATTAACAGTGCATATATCACTATCACGATTTTATACATTAACTTAAAAAGCCTAATTAATTAATAATTTCTTGGAAGTTCGAATAGACAATAATTGAATTAATTTTAACCTCTGACGTCGAAATCCGCCTTAATTTAATCAATTCTCTACGCTGTTTTTATCTCTTATCAATCAACTTTAGTAGCAGTTAAGATTTTAGGCGCGCAAGTTTAGAATAGTAACAATTTACATTTATAGCATTAGAAGCAATACTATGATCGTATATGCGCTCATTTATTTATACTTTTCCCAAATTGATATGGTAGATTAATTTCAGTATCAATAGAAATAAATTATTACCCGGAGTTTAGAATAAGAAAAAAATGTTTTTAAATACTAACAATAATTAATTAAAAAATTGCCTAAGTAGAAGTAATCAACACAGCTATTATTTGATGTCTAATTTTTCTTAGTCAAAATGTCGACATAAATTAAGGCGATAAGAAGAAAAATAAACAGCATATTCTTTTTATTACAATCATTTCTTTCTATTACCTGATTAGATATTGTACATAATAATACGTAATTTGACTAAGCCGCAAATATTATCAATTGAACGACGTGGTGATAAACAGCAGCATATAATATACATAATTTATTATAGAATTTATTTGTAATGTATTACTGCGTGTTTTTCCTAAAGTTTGTCAGCTATCACTTTTGTTTTTATTACAATTACAATAGAAATAACCAATGACAGTATTAACCGGACAATAATTTAAACATTAGTGAAAAATTGTAAACTAATGACGTTATCTTAATTTTTTCAATATTTTTTTTGGACGCAATTACGTCATTGGAGTTTGGCGAGATCATTTTACTACATTATAAAAAGCGGAAGTAATGATAAATAACTCATTTTTCTTTTAAAACCATCATTAAAGAAGAGATAGAAATACAATATCATTTCTTTTATAGCTAATAGAATGCAAGGAATAATGTATCGGACTATATTACTTTCAATTATTATCAAGGAACTTCCTTCAGTTATCTATAGCTTTTTATATAAAAAATATTGATGGAAGCTGGAGTATATGATAATAAATGAATGAAATATTGAATGTTAATTCATTTTCGCTGTACCTGATTGAGTATAAATAAAATTCTAACCTACAGCACTACGACTCGTTATCACAAATAGCTTTCATTTATGCGCAAGTATTCAACATACATGTTAGTCTTTATACATTTACCTGTAGCTATACTCATATTTTTATCTTGACATACTGTGTATACTTACGTAGACTTCATTTATTCAATCTAAAATCGGTAAATGCATACAACTACAGAATTAGATTTGTCCTAGCATATTTATGGAATTTAATTCTTTCTAATTGAAGATAATAATCTGAGTAGCATATATGCAATGTTATATCTGCTTGTCCTTTAAGATCTGTTGTTTTTCGTAACCATATCAATCGATTTTATTTATAGCTACGTTCAATTTTTATATTACTAAATCAGATTTATCAGCGTAATATACTAAATCAATCTAATTCTGTATTTATATTAATTCCTTTCTTAAATATGTGCTATTGTATTATGTATTATAGAAGGATTCAGCAGCAATATGCAACTGTATATCAACAACAATATTATATCCAACCAGTTCCTCATGCGCATCAAGCTATGGTAACATATGCAACAACACCTTTAGCTCCAATACAACAGCAGCAACAGCAGTCAGTTTCACCAACTTATTATGATTACATTCCTTATTCACCTACTACTCAACAAGTTTCATCTCCACCTTTTATTAATAGCAACGGCAATCGTATTTTCTTCGATCAATTGCCGTATTATAATCAACAATCACCCATCATGGGGCAACAAGTATTTCAACAGCCGACCTTTTTACCTCAGCAACAAATGCTAGTTGCTTCGGCTACAACACCAACTCAATTTCAACCTCAACCGGTTGATAGAATCATGTAATCGACGGCATCTTAAAGTTAATAGGAGAAGAAAATGAAAGAGAAAGCTAAAATAATACTTAAAGCCAAGTAGACTTAAAAAAATAACGTTGAAACTTTAATAATTACAATTATTATACTGTGATAATGATATATCCAACGATTTGATAGCTAAAAATTGAAACAATTTTCGAATTTCTGAACATTCAATGTTTTGATGGTATTCCATTTTTTCGGCATCAAAACAAATTAAAGGAAAAAGTCATTTATTACCGTTGACGATTTAATAACTTTTCATATCTATATGGCTTCAGAAGTATAACTTTTTCCATACCCTATTCCGTCTAAACTTTGACATAAGCTTAGATGAATACATTGCAAAAGAACATTTCGATCAAGTTTAGCTTTTTAAAATTTTTAACCAATTTTCGTAACTTCGCTATTTAACCCATTTATATTGCTTGATTTGCATTATTGAATTAGAAAAAGTATCAAGTATCACCCCCACGACAACAACATGAGAATGGCAAAACCTTGTGGATAAATCTCAATTCATCCATATTTGTTTACTATCAATGTTTCAGAAAATGCGGATAAAGGATATATGAAATCAAGTTACTAATAATTTAGCAACTAACTTTATTGATATTATTATTGCTCCTTTCTAATATAGAATCCATTCGATAATATTCTACAGTAAATTAACCTATAAATAGCTGGATTTAACTTGTACTATTACACATAACATCTTTTCGCAAGCTTAATAATAATATCATACCTTTAATTTGCCAGCTACATTTAGACTTTATTCTACTCGTTTAACGCTTATTTCTATATTCAAGTAATACAATGAAAGATTATTGTAGTAATAACTAGTAATATTTAGCTCTGATAATTTCAATATATGAGATGGATACATAAAGATGTTCATTGATGTAAAGCAAGACTAATGGAATAACAGGCAACTCTTGTTGTAATCAAATTGGATGTTAAAATTATGATCTCATTTAACTGCTAGTAACTTTCCGTAAATATCACCCTTCTACACTTAGCCTATGTTTAACGAAGGAGTTGATAATTGCTAAAATAATACTACAGTAGTGCATCACAAAATAACAATTATAATTAGTTTCCATGTAAAGGTAATTATCTAAGTCTATCTATCATACTATATTGCTATCTAGGCTATTTTGCTTTAATGCTTGCTATGCACACGTATTAATTATTCATCAAAGATTCATATTTTGCTGCTTACTTACGATACTCTCCACCTTTAATATATAGTTTTACAACTGTAACGCTTACTAATTCATTCTTTCATAAGTTATTAATTCATTTACTTCCAATTAATTAATTGTATCTGTGACATAATTACCCAAGTTGACTAGCCTAGATGGTATTACAGAAGATCTCATTAAATTAAATTTATATAAATATATATATCTCGCATCATATATTAGAAGGTAGATTGTTGTAATACTAATCACCTGCAGTAAGTAGAAGCAGGGTTCTTGTTTAATCATGGCCTCATGATTAAAGAAGTGGCTTATCTTGATACGTATTTATAATAGTTAACGTGCAAAAGCGTTATTCATAGCTATACATTGCCCCATCCCCTGCAAGAAACTCATGTTACTCATCATGTTACTTCATCATGATATGGATATATATATATATATTGTAACGAAGACAGCGATACTACTTTAATACATTAAATTTAAATCAGTTGTCATTTTCTAATATAACATTTATTCGCTTAACTATGTAGATTCATTTGAGCAGCTATTTAATTACGGTAATACGGTATTATTTAGATATGCGCTGTTCTATTACTACTACTAATTACTTCATTAAATATTAATTTATTGACGATAATTGGTATAAACTGTATGTATTCTACAGTTGCCTTTATCTACAATATATTTGATGTTATGATATAATTTATGCAATTTCATTGATACTTATAACCGGCCTTTACAACATCTTTTGACACTGAATATTAAGACAGAGAAAAATGTATTCCTTCTTGCCAATATGGTATAGGTTATAATTATAGGTTTTCTCTCAAACCGATGAGAAAGCTATACATCAAAGATGAAAATAACAATAAAATGGAAATCTTTAACGAAATTATGGTCGATTATTTGTATGTTTATGTGTAAAACTGCATCAATATAGTATAAAACCAATGTTTTAAATTTGTCTAGTTATCAACTGCTTAAGGTAGAGTAGAATAGTTTAATATTGTAAAATCCAAAGAGTTCGTGAATAATTGATAAGATTAATAGAAGCTCTATCTATAAACTCGTAAATACATACGAATGTTAAAATGTTTCAGTAAATTGTAACATACAATAACGTTAAATTACTGTCAGGTAGATTTCTAAATGATCATAACAAGAAATCATGACAGTATAATTGCTTGCATCCTTTCTATGATAGTCCATTTTCATATACGAGTATTCAGAGAAAATTATAACTTTCTGCAGTATTTTAAACCATTTAAAATAAGTATATAATCACTAATTGATAAATTGATTGGGAATTTCGATTTATTTATACTTAAAGTCTTCTTTGTGAGGCTAAAGCTTACTTATGTCTATAGGTACAATATTAAATACGATAGTTAAAACACGTAGTTGCACGTATTTGCTTTTAGTTTCATTCCCGCAGGAAAAAATGTTCGCCCTTAAGATGAACAACTCACTCGGAGTTGAGATGCCCAAACTGGAGGTGGAGCGGCATATCCAAGTCTTTCAGCATTTCTCTAAGAAGAATGATTGTACAGTAGTTGTTTGTTATTAAAATATTTCATTAAAAAATTACTAAATGACGTAAATAAACCTTTCTTAAGTAAGATGTTATTTTCAATCATAAGCCGTGAGAAAATTTTAATTCTACTCCGATAGGAAGTGCCAGAAATTGACTCGTTAGTTTATACATGATATATTACTCAATACTATAGTTTTCCCTACCTGCTTTGAAAATGGATTTAGTAGGGTATTCTGAAGGTTACGTACTTCAGAAAAATCCCCGATATTTGCTTTATTAATTGCTATTTGAGCCATGTAATTGCGCAATATATAGCGAGGGTTAACTTCTAAAAATGAAAACAACGCATATTTAACTCAAGATCGTGTCATATGCTTTCTCTTATTTAATTTACTTTCAACTGTATTCAGAGATAGTTCTATCAGTATATATGGATTCTAAATTAACCCTGCATTCTGAGTTGTCTATCTTGATCGTCATATAGTTTCCAGTTTGTAACATTTAGTCTCTCAAGATAATTTTGTATCCATTTCGGCCATTCATTATCTCTCATAACTTTTGATAGACTCCACGATTTTTGAATGTTTTCGGATTGAAAGCCATTGTTAATACTTTGTATATCAATTTCACTAAGTTCACGAAAGGTCATTGTAAAATCTGCTTTCTGATTTTTCATCATCTGTATCATAAATTAATTTTATTATTCTTGGTTACTATTACGTGTACCTTAATCAAAATTAAGAAATAGATTACCTTCAGCATTTGAGTGATTAGTTTGGTATCTTTTTTATTGCTACCTTTTAAACCTAATTTTTTTCTCATGATATGTAAATAATGACGACGATAAATCCTTTTGTAGTTGGATAGCTCCTTTTGCCCATCAACTTCGCTTATTAACGACGATAATGCGATTCGTAGTTTATCCAAGTTGAAATAAGCGACATTAGGTTGAAATCGAAAACGGTATCTACCATCATCATCAGATGTATTTGATATGAAATCGTCGTTATATTCATCCAGAAATCCAAACGGGCCATAGTCAATAGTTAAGGAAAGGATGCTAAAGTTATCTGTATTACATACGCCTACATACACGCATAAAGTGATAATCACTCATTACAGTTGGTCACTGATTAAGATTATAGTGCAATGACAAATCAGATGCATATTATAACGGTTCTGTTTTGATCTTAGTACTGAAAAATATAATTCAACACCATCAGTATTTATAATTTACCGTGAGTAAAACCAACAGATTGCCATTGAGCTATTAAAGAAGCAGTGGTATTGATTATTTCAGCATAAAATTTGATATATTTCCGATTGTCATCGCTTAAATGCGGATAATGAAGATTTATAATAACATCGACAAGTCTATTTAGTAAATGAAACTCTTGATTATAATGGAGTATTTCTATAGATCCAAATCGAAACCATGAAGGTGCAAGTCTGAGAACGATACCAGCTATAAGAAAAGATGGCATGTCACAGTTCAGCATTTATAGTCGAAGTGGCTCATCTTATCTTGATATGATTTAACTTTAATAGTATCTATTATATTAATTATTTATCTACCAGAAATATTTCAACTAAATTACGTTAACGGGCAATATGGAAATCTAATCATTGAATAAACGTACTTTACCTTTTTCGGCTCGCGGATGTCCATCATAAAATTGATCACGCCATATAGGTTCATCACTTGTGACAATACTGGCAGCTCTTGTCGTTGGGATACCTAAATGGTACATTGCTTCACTAACCAAATATTCTCGAATTGATGACCTTAATACAGCTCTACCATCTCCATCTCTGGGTTTGAAATTAAATTTAATTTATTATTATAAATACGAATATAATTATTTCATACGTATTTCTAATCAAAGTGACGTTGGATATTTAATTTTTTGCATTTGATTAAATTTACTCCTTTTTACCTCGAGTAAGGTGTTTTCCCCGACCCCTTTAGCTGCAGTGCCCATCTAATTCCTTCGCTAAATGAGGATTATTAGGCAATTGTTTAATTGTAATTGTGACTGTCACTGTGTTAAAGATGATGAATATGTTGTATTGATCGTTATATAGTACAAAGCTTATCAATAGAGTTATAGATTGTAAAACTTATTTATTTTCTAGTACAAGTTATACAAATTTAGATCTAAGAATCTGCGACAGCCGTATTATTTATTAGTATTAATTTCTTCGTATATACTCTGTAGCTGCTCGCAAATATAGATGGAAGGTATAAAGCGAGTTACTTTCACAATAAAGAGAGTTTGTTAATTTATCGTTTACGCGTTATGTTAGTGCATTCGCTATTCATGAACAGCTACTATACATATAAAAACAAAATAAATTATGTCATGGCATAATTGATGAGTAATATCTAATATACTAACTTGCTAATGTATTCGCCAAGCATCACAGCCCTTCCGTCGCCAAGTTGGCCAGCCCAATGACCAAACTATAAAAACAATTTGTAAAGATTTATTATGCATGGTGTTATTAAATTATTATGCTATTATCATCTAACCGTGGTAATATACAGTACATTTCTATATTTAGGTTAGATGAAATTAGATAAATAAATGTAGTAAAGTTAATTATCGATTGATAGGACACGATCTAGTATGAATTTCCGTGCCCAATACTGGAACAGGTATACCAGATACGAATATTTGCACAACCTGATGGCCGCCATATCGATGAGAAATTGGTGTTGAGCCATTTGGTAAAACTTGGCCAGCAAAGAAATCGAGAAAATATTTAGATTGGATTAGACTGTCACTATATTTTAAATCCAATGCATTTTCTAGGACTTCTTTTGATGCAGCTACCAACTTTGGTGGTTGACTTAAAGGAGTAGGATAGCATGTTGAGAATATTGCATTCTTGACTTGCCTGACGAAATTTCTTTTTTCAGCTTCTATTGGAAGATGATGATATAGAAGATTATGTTTAGAAAATTGCCAATTTCGCAATGTTTGGAGAGGTTTGTTGATGAAGCAAACGCTCGCATTTGGGGGGTTATTTGGTGTGCTAAAGTAAACGCTGTAACATTGATGATATTGCAATGGACAGTAGTGGATATGGATTGATAAGACAGTCATAGGCAGATAAATGAGTACTAAAAGGATGGTATTTGCCATGATTGGTTTATCTAGTACAAGAACCACTATTTAATAATACAGCATACGATCTTCACCACTGGATTGAACTCATGACCATGATATAACCCTTAAAATAAGGATGTTCGTCAAGTACGTTGCTGACGACACTTTAATGGATTCTAATGCCTTTTAATGTTGTACAGAACAGTCGCATGTGACAAAAGGGTCCTTCAACAGAGGTTAGATTATTATGATTTGAAGCGAATTCTTGCTAGCGTGGTGCTCGTAGGATAGTTATTGGAGTGATTCCAGTAGTCGTATGATTGATGATCCTTTGGTAATGATCAAAGTCTTTAAATTGTGTGGCTGTTTGACAAAGGAAGCTTTCTATAAGGCAGTTAGTTTACTATGATTTGAGATGAATGTTGGCCAATATTGTAAATTAGATTGGAAGTAATTTTCGCCATAGAAATTTGGTGCACGTAGTCATATGATGAATGATACTTTAGCAGCTATTTGACCAATAAGCCTCTACTGCTGTACACGCGGACAGACTCTTGCAAAATGTGCGTACTCGCATAGCCAGTTTACTGTGATTTGATATGGATTCCGACTAGTGTCGTAGACTGATAATTATAATCGAATTGATTTACTTGGTAGATAGTGCAATAAGCTTTCAAGTTCGTGAAGTTTAGCGATCTAGTCAGATTGGCAATTGCATGTTAGTATTTGCTCAAGATATCGAATAATGACTGGCAATGATGATGATTTGGTTTAAAAATGGAAGGCAATTCAAACGTCAATATCTCTTAATCCCTTCAAAGGGTGAATTTTTGTCCTTTTTTCATGGCAGCCATCAGTGTAGGATCTACTGTGGGTATGTCCAGTATATTTATGATATGCTTGGCAATGTAGCCGTGGTGAAATTAGATACTTTCAAGCGATTGTATTATAAGCTGATTGATGGATTTTATTCATTCATTCATTATCACTGCCAATATAGACGTGTTATCCCACATAACCATGGACAAGCGTCTGATCGGTTCATGAATTAAGCGAAAAATAAATGGAAACTCTTCCTTTCGAGTGATGCAGTGGAATCAAGGGGGGGGGGGAGACGATATTTTCAGCACCGTTGTCAGTAGAGATAGCAATCAGAGATTTTTTATGGGCTGTATCTAGTAGCAACCATAGTGGTAGCTGGCTACTAAAAGGAGATCAATCGTCGAGATTGTGAGTAGAGTTGTCTCTTTGAGGTTCAAGCTTGAGGTTTATGCAAGGCATTCAAGGGATGGAATTCGATTGTGGGCGCTATCGTAAAGACTTTACAAGCTGGATACTAGTAACGAGTCCTTTGCTTTGGCTAACTGATGCTATCGAACTCCAACCTTAATTTTAATTTGAAGGACTTGTTCTCAATTTCAACAGACTATGGACTTTACGGAGTACGGCGAGGAGCGAAACTGCTCGGTAGAATGTATAGTACAGTAGTATAGTAGACTTGTCGTCTATGACAGTACTGATTGTACTACTTCTGCACCTGTAGTAACATTTCTAACTTCTTTTTCGAACTTTTAGACAGCAAGAAAGAAATGACACTTCATTTTGCACAATAACCCTTGGCCAGAACGTCTTCTAGCTATTTAGTTTGCTGGTAGTATTCAAGTTGGAAATTAATGTTAGATCATTTATTCATATCAGCAAACATGACAGATACATTGGCTAACTTTTCATCTACCCATTCATACAATCTTTAATATAGCTATAGTGAATTCTAAAGGTACATCAAATAGTGGATAGATATATTTAAAAAGGAAAATAAACACCCTCAGGGTCTTTCGATGATTGCAAAGTGCTGGCATGAAACAACTTGGATACTATATTAACTAGGATAAACTACCCAACTCTCTAACAAGGATTGATGACTGCCTACACATAAACTGTCATTTCCTTCTTGCTATGATTCAGCTTCAAATAGGAGTAGTTCGTTATTCAAGTAGGCAAATTCAAGGGATGACAATTTATTTGCTTACCGCTAGCTGATATCCCTGAGTGGCCATCATTAAAACGTTAACAATTCTTCAAAGTCTACGCTGATAGACACGATAGAGTAGTGTTTAAATCAGCACAAACGCCATACAGTCAAAGGTAACTAACGCAAAACCCCATCAATATCAAAGGACAAACTATCACTTTGAGGACTGTCTTAGAGCGCTGATATAGTCAACCCCAAGAAGAAAAGAAAGCAAATCCGTCCATCCGAACGTATGCCACGCATGCGTAATCGATCAAGCTCGCTGCTGCAATGCACTCCCCTGGCGAGCCGAGCAAACAAGTTTTTGTTCGATTGAGAATGATTAAACGCCAGCATCGATCATAAGCTATTGGATCCAAGTCTAGGATAAAAAAACAATTTTCTACCGATCGATTACGACCCGAAAGGAAAAAATTTTATTCTTTGCATCCATCAGGAGTAGCACGATGGCGACATTAATCCAAATTTTTATGTACGGATGCTTGATATGTGGCTTAGTGACCGCAGCCATGACGGGGATTACCTTTTGGCTACAGGTGCACGAATTAACACTCTTGATCGTATTATGCATCGGATCAGCAATGGTAAGTCATCATTATCAATCCCATCTTTACCTTAGTACAGTAGATAGAATATCATCCATGGACTCTAATATTGATCCAACCCAGTCAATTTTCCTTCGATTGTATCGTTGTGCAAGCGATGATCTTTCCTTGATAAGGGAGGGATGATTTTGTATGGTTGCGCAGAAAGATCAACATTAATCAAGTTAGAATGATGACAGTAGAATTAGATAATATTATTATTATTATTATTATTTTTACCCCGGAAAAACGCTATCGCTCCCCCTCTTTCCGCCATTCGCTACGGGTAGGATCGCGCCTATTCTTGTCCAGAAGCATGCGATCTTTCCTCGTTGATAGGCTATCATGAAGAACGTTGATTGCGTATCCATTTCAGGATACTTTCAATTGTAGGAGTAAATAGACCGACTTGACGATGCAGTATAGACTGACTTACTGTATCCGTAGGCCAGTAGGTTGCTTTATCTATCAAAATTTCACCCCTTTTCCATCCTCGACTTGTCGTACTGTAGCATGATCAAACTCTACGCCGATTGATATCAACATATCGGATATGGAAAGTCCTTACTGATGGACAATCTATCCTCAACTCCTGGCTTCCCTTTTTTGTCGACACTTGTCAAAAATTCAATGATGAAATTAACGTTCTTTCGCGTGCAGTGGCACATCGATTGATTAGACAAATTTTTCAATCTCCTTAACGGCGATTACAATTGAGATTCCTGTAGCAATTATAGCAGCTACTGCTTTTACAATCATTCCCAACCCACTCTTTATTCCTTGTCTGATTCCATTGCATGCCATTGCAATAGACGAAGTAATCAACAACTTCTAATTGATTGTCATCACCATCAGGAGTAGATAGTTTACAGTGCTATTAATACAACTCAAGTTAAACTACTGTACTTTACTGTACAGTGTACAGTAGAGATCTTTTGAACGGTTTGAACAAGTCATCGCGCGAACTGATTGCTACAACATTAACCAATATTATTCCTCTCTTCCATTTCATCCTATTGCAATCTAGACCATGTTAGCCGCATACCAATGGACAAAAATCACAAAATAGCATGCATTGGATTCAATTTCAAGTTGGGATCGTATGATCCTCAAGTTGAAAATCAACTTCATCTCTTTTCAATGGTTCGGCTAACGTGTTGCATCAAATTTAAATACATCGTAAAATATCGCTTACTATCGGCTATTTTTTAGATAATACATTCTTACATTAGATACAGAGGTTGATAAAAAAATACTACAGTAGATAACTCATTGTATATTATCATCGAGCCATCATCTCATTATTCGCTGTAACTAAAAAAATAACGATTAGTTTAATTAATTAAATGCAACTACTGTATATGAATGTTTTCAGGGCATGTCTATTTCTTTTTTTGGTTTTATATCAGTCTACTGTATTATGAGAATCATCGTTCATCTGCTCTTCATGAATGAAGAATGAAAATGACATGTTGCTAACTTGATTTTAACATGGCGCCTACTTGTACCTAGACTGGCAAATTCACAGCTCAAGTTCTACTAATCAGTTTTACAATTCATCTTAAATAGAAGAAAAAAAAAATCAGTGAGTTGTTACTATCACGTTGGGTGCCGTTGTAAAAATATTCTTTGTTGTATTGAGAGCGCCCATGTTGAATGCATTATCACTATCCACATTCTCTTACTTTATTCTACTTTCTTTCGACAATTTCTCATAGCAATATTTCCATGCTATCATTAAGATCCTTCATTTTTTGAAGAATGACCTAAATCATATTCATCAATAGATCGTATGGATGCACCGATCTTTATCATTGATTATAATCCACAATGGATATATTCAGCACAGCATAAGCTTGCTTCATTTAATCATAATTTCATGCAGATTGATGTGGTAGAAGATTGACAATATTTATGTCGAAATACGTAGTGTCTAGTGATCAAGCATTTCGTGGGCAATGGTTCGCCCATAACCCAAGTTTAATAGCTATCGTCAACGACATTAGCTTTAACAAGATCGATCTTTGAAGGTGGCTCGATGACGCCTTTTGTGTTGAATGAGTTATTACAAATGGAATTTTTCCTAATCATGGTCTTGATTATTGAAAGGAATAACTTTTAGTTTCATTTTTTACTGCTAGTATCGACAGTGATTAAAAAAATTAATCCTACCGAAAAATGGAAAAGTGGTAGGAAAATCGGCATATCCCTTTGATCAATTAATGATTGCTATCGTTTGAATCCCAAATTTATATTGCATATTAAGGTGAAAAAATGACGTCTAGCGTTTGTATAGTTAAACAAAGAAAATCATTCATCTAAACAGTCGTTATGATGGCAATTTTTTTTTTTCTCATGACGAGAATCAAATTGTATATTCCTCTAAATCGATTTTTATGACATTGTAGCTTGTAGCTACAGTATCTTGCTCAATGGACATGCGATGGAGCTAGCATAGATTGATAATAGAGTCTCCGTAGAGTTCTTTAACTCATCATTATTCTGCTGGTGAAGAAAGGGAAACAACAACAAGTTTAAACAAATAGAAAAATATGTTTAGTCATCAGCTATCAAGTTATGATAATTAATTAATATACAGTGTAATCCATTATCGTCCAAATTGCAAATTGTGTTACATTGAGTAGAGAGGAACAAATTAAACAATACTGTAATCAGCAATTAGCATCTATAAATTGTATCCGGGCTATTCCAGACATATTCTCCACAGCAGTAGTCATGGCCCATTCGTTGCATGTCTTCTAGGCGGCCATAGCTATAGGGCTACAGTGGAGGGGCTTTAATCAAAGAAGAGTGAAAAAAAAGTGGTTAACAGTAATGTATTACCTCGTTGTCATGGGAGATTATTTTATCCATTTCGTTTTGTACCCTTATTAGAAAGACATGGTCCAGTGAGTACCGGAGTAAGAAGTATTTGGTTGAAATAGTCCAATGATAGAAATATTGGCTAGAGCATAAAATCTGTCTAGTCCATGATATAACACACGGCCACGGTTAATTAATTAAACTTACTGAAAAAAAATGGCCTTTGAAAAGGCATTTTTTTTCTTTCATGGACGGAGGGATAAAAAAGATTTCCAATATGATATGAATTTTTATTGTTTCAAATCTGCACAGGGGAAATTAAGCTAGAAAAGACAATTATTTGCACCTTTCGGTGATGTTATGTTTTACTTTGCATGAGTTAACTTGAATACTAGGCTTTTTATCCAATCTAGAATGATGATAATTTACTGTTTAAACCATGTTCATCATAGATTTTTCTCACCATCATGAAAAAGATACTATAATACAATAAGACGATCCTCTACAGATTTTATCCCATTGATTTCCATTACATGATATATTGACAATTATCCACAGGATGACCTAGTGAGGAGCTGGTAATTAATTAATCTACATTACGCCATTGAATGCATACATACAATAACGTATAAAATCATCACAAATAGAGATTGAAAACACTACTATAATTACAATCATTCCCAAGTAGCTGGCTTAAAGAAATGGACTAAATCAATGAACCACAATATTAAGTTGGAACATTGTCAAAGTGGTTCATGAAATATTATTGTCTTGCTTACCATTTTTTGTAATAGTGCCAAGAATGAATAAAAATTCAATTCTCTACATAATTAAAATAATTAAAACTAATATCAGAGCTGACTCTGTTTTTTTATCGATTATTTCTTTTGTGCAATAACATCGAAATTGACATGTTGACTAGTATTGGATAGACATTAATCCTGCCATTGAAGTAATAGACTATATTATTCCTACTATTTTTTTGCATAACTATGTTGAAGGCTTGAACCATGGACGAGCTCACACTCCGGTTGATCCCATTGCTTGAATCGTATTTGAGTCGTTTACCTAATGGAAACTTTTTCGCAGCATCTTGTAATATTACATTTATGATATCAAGAGATGTCAATTTATAACTCAGCCCTGAAAATATAGTCTATTAGTTATTTTTAAAAGATATTGACTAGAACGAAATGAGTTTGAGCATTTTATAATTGAAAGAAATATATTCTATCAATGTTGAAGTTGTTCTATGTTTAACATTCTTGTTGAATTTAGCAATTGTTATGAATTTCATTAGTGCCTACTTACCAATCGCTTTTAATGAATAACACGCTAATCCATTCTACCTTTTATTTCAATCTAGATCATTTTATCATCCTTTTTGAGTCCTTTTATTATCAAGTTACTTAAACATAGGGCTGGATACCTAGCGGTAAGCCGATCCTAACATTACTGTAGCAAAGTACTCAGATATTGTCCAAATACGTAACATGATTAATTTAATTTAATATTATTAAATTGGATTACTTTTGCTTGATGCTTACTAGAACTATTACAGTTTATTATAGTTAACACCATAATTACGATAGAGCAACATGGTAAGGTATCAATGAGCGTTACTAGAGTATTTTTTTGCTTATTTCTTGCGGCTAACTAGTATATAATGAAGAAATATTACTAGATATTCATCATTCGTCATGATAGAATCGCGATCAAGCATTTACAAAGATTTACCGTACTGTATAATCAACACCTTTATGCTATATTTTGTTTCTACATTTGTTAAGAGTTAAATCGTGTCTTCTGATGGAACACGGAACAATTATCTACAATTACATGATTCATCTTCTTCCTGTTTGTACATAAATAATTCTATTATTTATGTATCATAAGATTTAAAATCAATTTCTAGATGCAGTATTAATAATATAACTTTGATGACGATGTACTACATTCTATTTCGCCTAGCTTAGCTTAAATAGCCCACTCAAGTGCAACTTCAATATTTAGATTGGAATACTATCTTATCCTAAAATTTAGATATAGCTGCCTATTTAGTTCCACTGTCACTGACGTAAATTAACAGATCTAGTCAATGATATATTGTAGTGGACGTATTATTTTTACATCATGTAGTCATCTGTCAATGTAGTCATATACGGTAGTCAATGCATTTATACTCGTATTCGCATTAAATTTATTTCTTACTATTATTAACTTCAAGTGAGTTATTTGATGAGTTGTGAACAAGCTACGTCACCGCCATCGATGCTAACATTTATTTCTTACAGTGAATAACGTCAAGTGAATTATAAGATGTAGTTTGTTCACAAACTGTATAAGAAGTGCTAGGCACACACAGCTCTACTATATATACATTTTACATATATGTAAGAATATATTTACGTAAAATGCCCGATATTCTCTGAATATTGTAAAGGTATTGTAAATAATTTTGGTGAATTGGTAATCGCTAACATATTCACGCTGTATTTCTAGGTTGCAGCTAGATTGGCCTTTCCAATACTAACTATTGCGGCTATCATAACAACGTTGGTTTTTGAATCTCTTAGCCTCTTTTCGCCATGGCGTTCACCCAGAAATATTATATCAGTCGTGTATTTGGTGTTTGCAGTCATAGCTGCTGCTTTACATTTCCGACTAGCTTATTCCATGTTTGGAAAAGGCTTTGATACGGAAACGGTATAATAATATCTCGAATAATTATTTTAATGTAATATTTATCACTAGCTGTAGTAGTAATAGCTGTAGATAATGTCGATATTGCTTAGATAAATTTAGTATGATAAACTATATAGCAATACTAAATGTACAAATCTCTTAAAACACTAAGTATATAGTTTTGGCTGCTCTTAATTTCAATAAGTGAATAACATATAAATTACGGTAGTTGATGAATTACGATTAGAAAACTTTTAATTATTATTTCTTTATAGCCACATAATTTGATTTTGATACGAAAAGTCTTTATAATTACAGTATGTATTATAATATTAAAAGTAAAAGATGAGCTGGAACGTCTATAGTACACTAGTTAGATCATTTTCTTGTTGTATTGTCATTAACACGGTCGATAAGAATATTTTTTCTTCGTACATATACGTAAATTTCTAACGTAATTAATCTTAAAATTTACTCGTTATAGTACGCAATTGATAAAGAAGAATCGGATAAAATTGATAACGTTATACTAAGACGTCAATATCAAGCAAATGTTGGCCACCCTGAGTACATTGTTACATATGGACAGAATGATAGCGAAAGTGGCTATATACCAAATCAGGAAGGCATCGATTCTAATCTTGTCATTCATCTAGGAGATGCTATTTATCGATATGAACGTAATGCAAGTAAAGAAACTATGAGCCTTGGCTCTTTGTCTAACGCAAACGTAGAGGATCGACGAAGCTACGTTAGTGGACCAATGGTAGCATATTCCAATAGTAGTCTCAACTTAATAGGTTCACAAAGCCGGCCAAATGTTAAAAATAAGATTCAATCTGTAAGTAATACTAGCTTGCGTACAGCTGATAGTTTGGCTAGTTCACAATCATCCTTTTTTGGCCGATCAAATGGAGCTGTTACTGAAGCAGTAGTGGTATGCGAGTACAACGGGCTTCAGAAAAATGCGACTTCGAATAGTATTGACAGATCTGATCAAAGGAAAGCTCAGTCAAGTGGAGAAGCAGCTACTGCAAACAAAAATAAAAGACAATCTAGTAAACTCAACAATCAACGTGAAAATATACCAAAGAACAATACTAATAATGAAGGTGTGCGTGTTATTTCTAATAAAGTGCAAAATCAAGAAAGAAATACCGCGGTAAGCGAGGTAGCGACTTCTAATTATGCTGTATGCCATTCCAGAGGCAGTCTGAATGCATTGGGCAGCAAAGATAGCTTAGTAGACCAAGTCGAAAAACAGCGCACATCGAGCCGTGATGGTACATTAGAATTTCAAGGTGTACGGAAAGCCAATAGTAAGAGTAGCTTAGTGGATCAGTGGCGATCAGGTAATAGCAGTGAAAGCTTGCATTCCACTAAGAGGCGTGCTAGTCGTGATAGCAATGCTAGCAACCACCTCGTCACTAGCGACGGTGTTGGTTATAATCAGGGACAAGCAATTACAAATACGCTGTCGACAAACGATCAAGCAGCTATTTATGAACCTTTAATGAGTACTCCCATAAGTGACAATAGTAACGTACCGTTGAGCGAATACCCTGATCATAATATGAAGAAATTTAGTGACTTTATAAACCAGGGAAAGTATAATACTCAACCGAGCTCAACTAACAATCCCAGTAGCTCCAATCAACCAGAAATAACTCAGCCTGTGAATGTAGTAGCTTCAACTTCAAAACCAGTCGAAAGTGTTATTAATGCTCAGCACAGAGACAAAAATGAACGACCACTTTCTGCTGACGTTGTTAACTTAAGACATGATGCAAAGCAAAAGCAAGGAAATGTTGTAATTGCACCTAGTATTGGTGTTGGCCAGCAACCCCGAGCATCCGATACTTATTCAGTGGTATCAAATGCGAGCTTAGAGATGCCTTGGCTAGGAAACGGAGGTGGTCAACGCGACAGCATTTATTGCAATCCTGATACTGCAACATTACGTAATGCTAGAGATAGATTTAAATTAGCCGATAGATTGTATAATGATTTGAAAAAGATGCACAAAATTGAAGAAGATGCAGTTATTGCGGTTATCAAAGAGTACAAAGATATTATCCCTGTGTTAGGCGAAAAACATCAAAATCTCCGTGGCAAGGTCTATTGTAGAATCGCAAGGGTCTACTACAACTATTTAAAGAAAGAAGAAATCGCTGGTAAATATGCGCAGAACTCGTTGCAGTTGGCACCTGAGAATAGTCAATCTGAAGTATGGTATAAAGAAGCCCAAGATATTCTACGTAAAGTTAAGCGTAAGGAAGAATGGCAAGACAGCATTAAAAGGAACCGATTAAGTAAATTAAGCGATACCGCCGATACGAAGTATTATTATACGTCATAGTTATTGGGTATTAATGGCCATATTTATATAAGATATGAAAGGAAGGCATTGAGGGTGGAAAGACTGTACTGTATAATATCAGGTCATTTTCTTCTATATCTAACTGTAAGAGTTATTGTTTAAACTAGTCATGGATTGACTGAGTGATTTTATTGAATTCACTGTAATAAAGATTTTAGAGAACATAGGCTGTAATTTTGTGAATAATTGATCCAATCTGTAACTATGGCTAAGGAAATGAGAGATTTTATTCTATTACAACTGTTATTGTGTAATATGTGATATTAGTACTTGCGCGTATGTAGTGTTGCTATTATTCCAGGTCGTAAGATATCCAGATTCTTGACTGATGGTGAAATTTCAACTTATCGGTCATTGAAGTATGTGCATTTTTGGCGTATATTTATGCAATGAGCCAGTAGAAGCCATGTTAATATATAAAATGTATATCTATACATGTAAAAATAATATATATGTATGCGTTTGTTACTTAGATGATTGAAGGTCAATTGATCTCATCGCCATTATCACTCATTTCAATATTATTAATGTGTATTTTTGTTACAAACATCCTAAGATTATCACCTTTACAGTCTGGATTGACTACTCACTTCTGTTTATTATAATTGAGCGATTGTAAAATTGTTGTGATTATGTAGATCACAAATATACGATTCTACAAGGAAATAACTGTACACTTTTATCTAACCTGTCATAATTCATTTAGATATTCGGTTGGGAAACAGTATTTATCTGATATAAACGTCGTGCCTTGCAGTTTTTATTTACTGCATTTCGATGTTACTTTTTTATTGAGGAATTTTGTTTGAGTAAGAAAAGAGTTGTTTTTTCAGATTAAATCATGATTGTTGATACTTATTCTTCAACATTTCATTTAGATCGAATAAAATCAACGAAATACCACGCAATAGTTGTCGTTTTATGGATTAATATGATGTTATGGATAGTAATATACAATCTTTGTATATTGTCAAATCTACAGTACATCGAGTGCAGCTTATATGATGTTAGCATACAGTAAAGTATGTTCATATGAACATTTTTTAAAATCAAAATTACTTGAGATAAATGATTGGCGATAGCTTTACCAACGATTAACAAAGGCCATGGTTAAGTTTTTTTCACAATGGCTTTTTTTATTAACCTAAAGAGTCCAAAATTAGAACATTTATGACGACAATAAATTATATTTATAGCACTCATTATCATATAATTAGTACCATTATAACTTCATCTAGTGCAAAATACGACATTTAATGTTGAATATTTATTTAGTCAAGCGTTTACTATGCCAATCTTCATTTTCAGTAGTTACATAAAATCAATTTCGTTAAGTGCAAAAATATAACATCCGCTGCTCAATTATTTTAATCTAGCATTTTATATTTACTAATCTTTATTTATTTATGTGCGCGTAGGATTAATTTTATGCTATGCAAAGTACAATATTTGCTAATCTTTATTTATTTATGTGCGCGTAGAATTAATTTTATTCTATGCAACGTACAATATCTACTGTTCAATAGTTTTTAGTCTATCGCTTTTATTTTTACCAATCTTCATTTATTTATATCGAAGCAATTTCATAATGTGCAGAATACAATATCCACCATTCAATGGTTTTAGTGTAGTATTTTATTTTATCAACTTCATATATGTACAGCCAAGCAATTTTATGATGTGCATAATACAACATCCGCTGTTTTGTTATTTTAATCTAGCGTTTTACTTTACTAATCTTCATTAATTTATACGTATACGCGTATGTTATAATTCTATTTGCAGCGAGAAAAAATGAAAGCTATTACAGAAACTTAACACTACGAGTCTACTGCCAGGTATGTCCTCCCCTACATCGACCGACATTGAGGACGCTAAATATTGACGGCTTCCTATCGTTAGGAGGAACGGTCACCAATACTTATTGGATAATCTAAAAGCAAGCACTTATTTATTGAAAAAAACATGGAAAAAGTCATCGATAAATTGATACTAAGACATTCCTAGCAAGAAGCCATGTTATGGCTGTTAAGCTTCCGTATTAGCGTGGAATGAACTAATTACTTTTTATAACGTGTAAAATGTAATGTAATATCCACTGTTGCAACAGTTTTAGTCTAGCGTTTTTTATTTTTTATCGATCTTCATTTATTTATTTATATCGAAGCAATTTTATGACGTCAAAATGCTATATCCACCCTACAACAGTTTAGCGTTTTATTTTATCAACTTCATTTATTGATATCGAAGCAATTTTATGATGTGCAAACTCAATATCCACCCTTTAACAGTTTTAGTCTAGCGTTTTTATTTTGACCAACTTCATTTATTGACATCGAAGCAATTTTATGATATACAAAACTTAATATCTACTGTTGAACAGTTTTAGTCTAGCGTTTTTATTTTGACCAATTTCAAATATTGATATTGAGGCAATTTTATGATGTGCAAACTCAATATCCACCCTTCAACAGTTTTAGTCTAGCGTTTTTATTTTGACCAACTTCATTTATTGATATCGAAGCAATTTTATGATATGCAAAACTTAATATCTACCGTTGATCAGTTTTAGTCTAGCGTTTTTATTTTGACCAACTTCATTTATTGATATTGAAGCAATTTTATGACGTGTAAAATTTAATATCTACCGTTGAACAGTTTTAGTCTAGCGTTTTTATTTTGACCAATTTCAAATATTGATATTGAAGCAATTTTATGATGTGCAAACTCAATATCCAACCTTCAACAGTTTTAGTCTAGCGTTTTTATTTTGACCAACTTCATTTATTGATATCGAAGCAATTTTATTGATATGCAAAACTTAATATCTACCGTTGATCAGTTTTAGTCTAGCGTTTTTATTTTGACCAATTTCAAATATTGATATTGAAGCAATTTTATGATGTGTAAAATTTAATATCCACCATTGAACAGTTTTAGTCTAGCGTTTTATTTTGACCAACTTCATTTATTGACAGCGAAGCAATTTTATGATGTGTAGAATTTGACCTCCACTACTTGATTAGTTTTTAGACTAGCGTAGCAATCTTCATTTGTTTTTATACAAGTGCACAGTACATTATCTAATACGATCATGGCTTGAACTTCTATTTGCAATACTTTCGTTTTGTGTCTTGGGTACTTTATATTTACATTCTATCATTGACGTTGATGGAAATTTCCTACACTATTTCCCCACAATTTTGCCTACGGTATACTGTATATGTCACGGTACACTAGCCTGCTTGGCGTTCCTCATATTGTCTATAGTTCTGTGTGTCAACGTATAGCCAAAGACGGTGTTGAGTTACATCATTCTACAATAACAGTCTATCCCACTTCAATAGACTCGACTTATGCAAGTTGCTCAACAGATCCGCCATATTTGCGCCATGTAGAAGTCGATTAAAAGAGGAAACTATCTTGGATTTGCGATTTAGTAGCCATTATTTCATCGGTAGAAGGCAATCATCTTGGAAATTATTGATCTATTGTCACAAAATTCATTCCTAACCATCGAGACTACGTTATATCAAAAATTTCAACGAGGGTGGATGAGGGCGTTGTCTTTGTCAGGACTCTTCATTTCTAGCCAGTGTTGGAACATCCATACGACGATTGAATTGATCGTGGCTTACTTTCATTGCTTACACCCATATGGAAGGCAAATGGAATGAATCAACTCCGATGCAATCGATTCTTTGCAAGTTTCAATCCATTAATCAACAATTTGAACGAATGAAATGCAATGACAAAACAAAAATAGACGATTATATCCTTATTGTTGATGGCTTGAAGAGTATTATCGATCTTCTAGAAAACCCTCAAGACGATCGCCAAAAGAGTAGTCTAAAAGCCCAAACTTGTAGTAGGATCGGTAGTATCTATTATCATCTAATCCAAAATAGCGGTAAAGCCAAGATTTACTTCGATATGTGCATAGAATTGGGTGCTCAAAGTGCTTGGTTTGAAAGTTGGTACGTAGAAGCAGTGCAATTATCCCAAAAAATTCAATCCGATGCTCAACGAAATCGATCAGATTGGCAAACATTCGAAAATAATTTACCCAAACAGACTACTTCGGGTGTAAATAGTCACAATCAGTCGGATTGGAAAGCATTCGAGAAAGATTTACCTCGTCACGATACTGCCAGTGTAAATAGTCACAATCCAATGGATGATGGAAGCGATCAGAGTCAAACTCCAACAACGGCTGAAATTAAATTATCATCTATTATCAAGAAATTACAGGCTGCAGACAAGCAATTAGATAAATTACGAAGCAATAGCAATTACCAAACTGACCAGGTCTTGATTTTAATTGATACGTATAAGCAAATTCTACCTATAGCTATGGACGACGAAATCCATGATAGCAGTGTAATCGCTAAAACAAACAGTAGGATTGGACTATTATTTTATCAATTCTTGAAAAAACCAGAAAAAGCCAAAGTCTATTTCACACGTTGTAAAATCGTTCATCAGGCCAACAATGATGGTAATAGCAATGAAGAGGATTGGTACCAAGAAGCCAATACTATGTTAAATTTAATTCAACAAGAAGATCATCCTAAACCTACTGAGGGTACGCAAAACCAATCTTCTTGTAAGAGTAATCTTCATCAATCTATTCAAGGTCAACGTCCGACTAATGACAGCTCTCCATGGCGCCAACATTTTCCTGACTCGTTTGAAAATGATAAAACTAATGGCAGCTATTCTACTTTTATGGATCATGTTAGTCATGATACTAAAACTGTTTTTACTGACGAAGATTTATTCTCATCATGTAATGGCGACGATAGTCCAATTGAAGTAATGCTAGATTCGACCAATAAAGAATACAATTGTATAATTAAAAGTATGAATCATAACAATAATACTACTACTTTAAAATTAATTCAGACATATCAACAACTTATTCCTCGTTTCCATCCTTCACAATATCAAATTGTTGCTGAGATACAATCTAAGTTAGGAAATATTTACTACAAAATCATTCGAAATTTAAATAAAGCGAGAGAATTTTACGTTAAATGTATTCAATTAATGGACACGCATAGTAATAAGGATGAAAATTCAGCAAGCGATTGGCTAATTGCAGCTCGTCAGTCACTCGATCAAATCAATAAATTGAAGGCAGCTAGTGACCGTTGCAATGTAAATGCTTTTCAATATGACAATTCGATGTCAAATGACTTTGGTCAAAGCACCAGTGGTAGTAATAATCAGTGGTCATTTAATTCTGGTTATACGATATTTGACTCTTATTGGACGCCTCAAAACGTCTTTATAGCGAAATTAAAACTTGATGTAGCAGAAGAGAAATTAAAACGTTCGCTTCATTCCAATAGCACCAATTCTGATTTACTCACACAATTGAAGAAAACCTTTCAAGAAATTATTCAAAGTGCTATCTTTAATGAAGAAAACTTAAAAGCAAGAGCATATTATAATATTGCCCTAATGCAATATCATTTAGATGTTGACAAAAATGCGGCAAGAACGGGCTTAGAAGCATGTATTAGAGAGGCGGGCAGTAGTTGTACAACTGAGCAGTGGTATCAAGATGCACACCAACTATTAAAAACAATAATACGAGGAGATAATACTGCATCTACTTCGAGTAAGCAATCAACCACAACTGAAAGAACAGATATTGATCCTTCATCTTTTTCGTACGACAATCATATTAGATTACAAATTGCTAAGCAAAGGTTTCATACTTCTGATCAAAAATTAAATACTCTCCAAGAAGCTAACGACAGCTGCGATCGAGATTTTGAAGCGTTAATTTTAATTGATTCATATAAAGAGATTATTTTCTTATTAAATAAAAATCATTTAGATCTAATAGCTCAAGCTAACTGTAGAATTGGGAAAATCTATTATTACATTGTCCGAAATAACGATAAAGCTATACATTACTGTCAACACTGTATTGATATGGCATCAAAGGAGTCGCGACTAGAGAGCTGGTGTAGAGCGGCATTTGATATTATTCAGAAAATCTCAAAAGAAACGGAAGAAAATATTAATAAGCAAGAAGAAGATAATTTTGACATCAATACTGAGCTTATTCAGGAAGAAGAGAATCTACGACAATCTTGTAACAGCATCGAGAAGCTTTTACGTTTCATTTACCAAAAGTATCCACTGCCTCAATACAGAGAGAAAAGCTATCAGTTACCGAAAGTTATTACCATCTCTCAGGAAAAGCGATTGTTGAATAAGGCTCTAGTACATTATCATCCAGATCGCAATTCTAGGCGCGAATACGGTTTAAGATGGTATAAACGGTGCGAAATGATAACAAGATGTATTAATGAATGTAAGAAGAAAGCTGCTATCGCTAATTGGGCTACGTTTGAGAATGTATGAAGGTGTGTTATATGAATGTTATTATATTATAGCAAACGCGGAATTGAATGCTAACGATAGAGAATTAGGAGTACTAAACCCCAAGAAGAAGATGAACCTTATGAAATAAAGTTTATTACTACCGTTAGTTGTAATCATACGCATACAGTGGAATGGATTACGTAAAACATGTCTGTAGGATAGACCTATGTAGTGCAAAGGTGCTATTTTTACAATATCTGTTAAATTAAAAGTATTTCAGTTATTATTGATAAAGAAATAATTTTATTAAGTATGTCTAGATGTAGGATAATTATTGTTACATCCATGTGTGATTTTACAGAATCTGAAGTAAGCTGTTACCGTTATATCATTTTGACTTTTAAAAATTAATTTACGATTACTATAAATACTGCAGTCTTGACTGATATTCGCAATAAAAAGACGAATAATGAATTAAAAATTACTATTAGTTCTAATCAATTTAACAACTGATAATTTTTTCATTTAAAAAGAAATTGTTTATTTTTATGATAGTAAGAAGTTAAGCTATCTAAAGTAAAATGCGTGCCAATGTTATATTCGCATTAAGTTCATCTATAATTAATACCATAGTTTTGTAAGAGATGTTGATCTCGACAGTTTATCGGCTTATCAGCATTATAGCTTCATCAGCTAATATCATTATGGAAATAATATGATGATATCTCGTAAAACTGCTTGGATTATGAAATTTAATAAAAAGAAAGTTATTCATCTTACAAATTTTATATGAACTTTACACCCTTCGAATTTATGAAAGGTTCTATCTTGGCATTTCAATATGTATTGTATAGCATTAACTAAATTTGCAATCGCCTGAGTCGATAATACCCTAGCTCAAGCTTTGCAAAGAAATGAGTACAAACGTACGTTTTATATTGGAGACTCATTGCATTTGCTAGTACAAGTATAATAGCTTATTAATGATGGTATTGGTAAAAAAACTCTACGATCGTTTGCTTACAAGAGCTGTTAATTTATTTATAGAATCCAAAATACTGTATGTGAGGTTTATGAATGTACTGTTGTTCTTGAAGGTAAGAAAGTTATCAAACTGGAGAAGTAACAAAAATTATCTCGACACCTGATATAGCATAGGTCAAGTACCATATTCCTGTTTATATTCTTAGTATACTACGGTAGTCTATTATGGCGGCGAGCAGCTTCAATAAGTAGCTTGTATGCAGTCAGATAGAGAGGAAGTCTCCTCAATCTAAATCTTTCCCAACTATGCATCTGTACCATGAGTTTGGTGTAGATCAAGAGCTTTTACTCGCGATAGCGTGGTGTACAGTATGTATGCCAATATAGTGATTTCGCACTACCCGAATCATTTACTTAGAAGCTCATGGAGTATAATCGTATTTGGTCAGTATAGTCAAAAGTTGCAGGTAAAAGCTAGAATCAATCGACCAAAATTTTGGAGAAAGGATACAATCTATGATAGAACTATTAAGTAGCAGAGTGGATCGAGTATTCGACGATCAACTTGAGTCTACTGATGTTGCAATATATCAGTATCTACGATTTGGACTGTACATCGCACATACGACCATCTACGTTACTTATTCATAAACTACTAGAAAGAATTTTTCCATAATTTCCTTCTAAAGATGTATAACTTATAATCATTAGGGATAATTATTAATATAGTATCTATAAATAGCAGTTAATAGCAAGTTTAAGTGGTGCCTAATCAGCTTAATCGAGTCGTTTTCTTTCGCTAGAATATTTTACAATGATTTGTATAGATCATCCACTGATGTTCATGCTCATACACTCATAATTGCATTAGCCAATGGTAGTCAGCCAAAATCTAGTTAACAGTCTTCAACCCACGTGATCTAGGAATCAAGCATGCGTCATCGATGCAACTGAGATCGGTTTCCATGGTTAATATCAAATGACTTCCCAATATTTATACTTTTAAAGTAATAGCCAGCTATAGTAATAGTAAGTGGAAGGTTCGAATAGAGAGATGATTTCCATGGTCTTGAGAATATAATTTTATCCTAGTTTTTAATAGGAATAAACTGGAAGGACTGTTTGGTTACAATCTATGCTACAAGGATTGTTTATAACTAAATATTGGTTCCATCATTAAGGTATCAAGATGCCGGAAAACTCAGATAACCAGAGGAAAAAGTGGTTACGAATTAAGATAATAAGTATGGGCGATCCTCAAGTCGGTAAAGTAAGTCGAAATCGTTTCAACAGTTATAGTATCTCTTAAACTTGTATTGAAAGCGATCGTTACGAATACTATTATCGATCTGTGAGTAGAGCTATAGTGGAATTTAATATTGAGTTGCTAAAGGTAGCTAGAAGGACATCATGCGATAACTTTAGTTAGACAGTTATATAATAATAAGAATGTAGTACTATAGAATACTGTTAAGAATCCTGTAGTATAAATTGCATAATGTAGCATTTACTGTAGGTACTAGTAGCCTCAAAGTGACGATAAGCTTACATGTTGATACTTGCTAAGTTACAATTGGATAAGTACAGTAGCAGTATTGCATTTAACTATAACATATTCGCATTTACTTCAGTTTTCTCCAATATAGGTAGCACAATAGGTAGATTCAAATTTGAATTCATAATATAAGCTAATCATAACGCAATCAAGATCGTCACAAACACTAATCTACCTTATTTATTTTTGAGTCATATTATTTTAGCAGTCAAAGAGTCTTATTTATTTATTCATTTCTATTTCAATGCTACTCCTTTAACTAGAGCTGTATCATTAAACGATATTGTGAGAAACGTTTTGTATCGAAATACATGGCTACTATTGGTATTGACTATGGTGTAACGAAGTAAGCTCTAGCTGGCTCTAAAACTCTCTTCTAGAATACTTATTTTAACTTTATTTTTGATTTTAATTGCTCATTCTTTCCTGCTATTGATGGATTATAAATTAGATTCCAATTTTTCTGAGTTTATATTCGTAGAATAAAGCATAGAAACTTGTAATTAAATTAATATTTTAACTGCATTAATTACAATACTGGATTGATCACATTTCTAGTTGTTGTCTATCGATAAAATGAAGTTTTTGCTCATACAGATACATATGTAATACGTACTTTGGATATAGGGTAACCATTTAAATTTTATCATATTAGTTATATTTTTTTGTAAAGAAAGAATACTTTAAATGAATATATCGCTATGGCTTTCTTTATCGTTATTAGTTTAAGATTATCAATCATTCATGCAACTGACATTTATTAGGATGAACATTAAAGATAAAAGAGTTAAAGTCAATATCTTTGATATGTCCGGTGATCCGATTTATTATGAGGTACAGCAATACAAATTTTCTTATAACTTTCTTACTTGAGGTACAAGTGCATCGTAAATCAACTATACATGTAGCTCGAATTAATAATCAATATAATTATACTTTCTGCAACAGATTCGTAATGAATTTTATAAAGATTCTCAAGGTGCTTTACTAGTTTATGACGTTTGTAAACAATCAAGTTTTGAATCATTAAAAAAGTGGATTGAAGAAATGAAAAAAGAGATTGATAACCCTGATAGCGTCAACAAGATGGTCATCGTTGTTTGCGGCAATAAGGTTAGTCTGGTAGTTTTCTGTAGTACCTGCAAACACGATTTGCTACCATGCTTTGTTAATGTCCTTATCTTCCATTTTTAAACTAGAACAAATTAATTATAAATGGATTGAGTTATTACAAAGGTTGATACTTATCATTTGTATGCAATCCTATAGACTGATCTAGGTGGTAGACGTGTTATTAGTGAATCGGACGGTCGCCTTTGGGCAGATAGTTATGGCTATTATTATTTTGAAACTTCTGCCAATAATGACACCGGCATTCATGAAGCTTTTGAGGTTCATTAATACGTGTATTAAGCAACAGTGTATTTTAAAAAATATTCTCACTTATGTGTTAATTGCTTTATATTGCGTACATAATAGACGTTAGTTCAATCTGTTGTCACTACAGTGACGACCGGTAGTAGACCTACATCTGGAAGCTCATTAAATTATTCTCGAGAACAAGCTGAGTTAGTTACAAAGATTAAAGCATCTCGAGATAATTATGAAAGACTAGGTGTCCAACCAGGGGCAAACAAGTTAGTATCTTATTATAATTAACGAAAAATTAAATTAATAGCAGAAAGTAAACGTTGAATCCGATTGTTTAATCCTGTCTTGAATTGGTAACAGAGCTATTTAGCTATAAGTTAATTAGTTAATTTCAAAACAAAGCATAGAATTTTTAAGACCATTTTAATTGCTTTAGGGACGAAATTAATAAAGCATATCGAAAGCTAGCCGTTCAGTTACATCCAGACAAGAATACAGCGCCTGGAAGCGATGAAGCATTCAAAGCGGTTGTCGGAGCAAGAGCTGCTCTTCTAGGCACACGATAAATATTTCTATATTCTGTATAATAGTTATTTTCATGATCAATAGTAAATAATGAAATTATAGTACATCTCTATGGCATTTTAGTTAATGGCATACGAGTAAATTTAATGTATACCTTTTAAGCAGTTAGATGCCAATATGTTATGAAATGATATCCTATGATATCTTATCGCCTGATTATTATAATTTAAAACTAGGACTAATTTCAAGTATTTCGCTTTAAATATATACGATTCGAAAATAATTGAATATTTGCTAATTAACATATCAACAATAATGTACAGCATAAAATTATCGTTTGCAACAAATGTGAAGCAGACATCAATGAGCAGAAACAGAATCAAATTTCAATAGGTTCCATAATAAGATTCATGTATAAATATCATTTTATAATTCCTTTACAGTACCAAGAACAAGTTCTGATTAGCGGATAAACCAATGTTGTAAGTCATATCACGATAAAATTACGCGTCATAGTTCTTTTAAACATTAGCATAAAATAAAAATATGCATGTCTCTATATTGATTAATATCGCTATGTATATATGTGAGTTAACCGTAGCTACGCGGAATAGGTATTAATCGAGAATAGCAATTTCGACAATAAACTGTAACTATGACGATACATTGCTTCTTTAAAATAATCACTCCCGAATGGAATGATAGCATAATCTTCATTACTTAAGTAACGTTATCGAGTTTTTTTCGATATGATTGATATATGCAGCAGAATATCATTAATATCTCTACTTTGATAATATAAACATTTACAATAAAAATTATAAAAGCTCAAAGTTATTTCATTTTATGTCCTTCTTTTCTTTAGAAAGTAACTCATCTTTTCGTATACAACAAATGTAATACATGTTGCAGGAGTTACCCTAGTTCAATAAAATTATTGTGCGTTTAACAGGTATTAAAATTCTGCATCATCGGTAGAGCTCATTGCAATCAAAAAATTAGTTTGTTTCAATAACTACAGCATTACCTGATCAGATTTGGCGTTAGACCTTTATAGAATCCTCGAAAGCCTTCGTATCTACAATTTTTTAACCCAAAATAACTTTTATTAACTAGACTGAAAATAGTATATTCTGAGGATTGAACATAAAATTTGACATACTTTATAATCTTACGGATTGCATCAATAGAGCCATCGTATTTTTGAGCTATGTGAGGGTCCTGTCATATTCATGTACAATGAAGGATAAAGAGTACGATAGCATTAAGCATATATTAAACGCTGATCTCTACAGCCTATTTTACAATAGTTGTAACACCTGCAAACGAGATCGGACTACTTGATAAGGATAGGTAGTAGATGATGCAAACGTTTTTGATATTGCGGCCATACAAATATATTCAATAGCGCTCTAACGAAAAGCAATTTGAATGTTGAAAAGTAGAAATTTTAGGGGGCATAAAAGATGTGTGTATCTGTGACGCACAGAGTGCTAATTACCAAATGCTTTTCGTTCGATTGTTTTCGGAATTTATTATAAGCCTTTTTGCATTCTTCATATGCAACAAATTGTATAACTCCATGAGATACACCAAAAAGTCCCGGAGCGTAGCCCTTTTTTAATTCGATTTTATCGGTACATTAATAAAGTAAAGCAAACTTGATTTAAGATAAGTTTAATGCCAACAAGGTTATACTGTACAGACCTTATAGAATCCTCTAATTCCTTCATATTTATATATTTTGCTAAGTCCATCTAAGATATAATATATATAGTATGCATACGTTCGTTAGCTGTATCACGTCACATTTCCAAATTCGAAATGATTGACTCTATTAAACCTACGGTACCCCTTTTCATACTGCTAAAGTAGTCACTAAGAATAGTTGTTTAAGGAATTTATGATCAAGGTAACGTACCTAGTAGTCCGTTATATGAAGGTGCAGATACTACCATTTCTCCAGTTTTGGTAGTTTGAAGTATCATTCTAGTTTTAACAACCCAAATGGGATTTGTCATAGTAAGGGTGCAAACACCTAGAAGACAGGAGTAAAGGTAAATACTTGCGAAGAATAGAGAATCTATTGGTAATTGATAGCATTGACGCATTTTTAAAGCAAGACATATTGCATTCAACAACATCCTAAACTCCTATTTGCCTTTCCTATACAGGATGATAAAGAAATGCATATATTTCACGGATTCAGCCATCAATCCATGCCGGTACGTTTACCTGAAGATTATTTACGCATTTCAAAACCTAGCGTCAACTGCCCACTGAGTTAATTTAAATAAAAATATATTAACATGTCACCTGATATCGCTGCAGCTGTCATGTGTTTAGTAGGTCCTAGAGGTTGATTAGAACCAGCTTGAAAATTGGCTTTAATAGCATTATAGCTGTTAAGCAGAATTAATTCCATTAGTCTTATAATTTTAATTTTATTGACAGTAATTTAAAAGAAAATGCTGTCTTACAAGAAAAAGTACAATCCCCATGACGATCCTGCACCCCACATATTTGGTATAACGCCCTATTATGAAACAAAACACTAGATCAAAATTTTACAAGTGTGGGCATCAACCATCACACATGATAGCTGTTGGAGATGGCTATCTAATTTCGTCGATTTTTACGGAGTGTTTTTATAATAATTTACATCTCATTTGAAGTGATGATGATAACACATTAGGGCATTTATACTTGTATAGTATCACACAATTTGTTTATAGCAATTGGGTCCTATTGATGTAGTGATAAGATAGAATACGAATACTCGTCTATAGAAAGTAAAAGTTATCAAGTTTACTACGGCATCTTAGAAGTCAATAAAGTAATTAGATGAAGACAATCACAATTCAATACCTTCTCTGTTCTAATTCTTCAATGGTACTGATTGATATTATACGACTACTCATGACTACTTGATCCAATGTAAGGGAGTATATGGACTACGATATCATCTCCTGGTTGTAATATACTTTTGTATACCTGGTAAAAGCCTCGCAAGCCGTTTAATTGGGTAGTAGACTTGCATGCTTGAACAAGGCCATTAAAATTGGGACGGTTAGAAAAGTGGCCATCACCAACTAAGGTAAAGGCAAGAGATTAATATTAGTTGATATCCTTCTAACGTTACATGGGCGAAATGATGCTATTGAAATTGTGCAAGTGAACTATTTCCAATACAGTAGGACTTCTCATTGAAGATTACTATTGCTTTATATATTTTATGTAGTGTTTTTCAGTTATTTGGATGATTTTCGATTTATACCAGACTAAAAATTACAATATCTATAACATTTAGACATGATACCATCATGTCTATTCCAATGGAAAGAGCAATAACCAAACAATATTGGATGATAAAATGATCGCCTAATATTACGAATTGTATTGCTCTCCATGCAGGTTCTACCTTGAAATTTAACTTTGATGACATCCAATGGATGTAATGACAAGGTCGCTATTACACCACCACAAACACCAGCCACTAAATGGTCATAATTAAGATGTCTCATGGCAGAATGAATTGTCCGGAATAAATTGTATTTATCCGAAGGAGTTGATTTTCCAGGATCATCGGCAGCCATGATGTTCTGATTGCGTTTGAAGACTAGTAGAACTTTCCGTACCCAGTACAGCACGAAGTATGACCGTATGCTGTTGTATGACACTCCTTGAAGTTCAGACGTCGATCCCCAGCCGATTGGAGCAGCAACGTTTCTTCCTCTACTAAAAGCTGTCGTGTTGCGCTCGATTTGGTAGAGTGTATTACTGTCCTGTATGAGCGTATTGTTCGTACTCAAATGTATCGTCAGTCGTTGGCGGGTGATACTCACGCCGGTACGTACTGAACCCTCGGGTCATCTCCAGTGACACTCACTATCGACTGAACGTACTACCACGACGGGCGGCTATTCAAGTCCATGTTTGAGGACTTTGATGTCCCAATCCAGAGTCCGTCCTCAAGTAAAAACACTCAAAAAGAGAGTGGACTGGCCAGTACTGACAGGGATTACTCGAGCCAAATTGTACCCCGTGCATAAATATTGTCATTCCTACGCTTGATAGACAAGTTCTGCTCTTGCAGACAGGGGTGACAGCTTTTATGCAACACGAGGTACAATTTGGATCGAGTAAGTCCCTGCTACTGTATCAAGTTGTAGTCTAATAACTAACAGAATAACTTGAGTATTTTGTTAGTTTTTGGCATGGACGGCAAGCGTTTCTGACTATTTCTTTTAGTACAGGCATTTTAAAGGAGTGTAATAAATGCATCTAACCATATTTATCTTTGTCAAATGGTATTTTCGAAAAGGCTTCTACTACAGGATTTGAGGAATAGTAGAGCGATAATGCATGATTACAAGAATCTAGTCTAAAAAGTGAAAGTATTGCGAGCTCAAAGCGATGTGATGTCTCTTCTCCTCCGCCAGCTCATCTCTGCAGTTCTTAGAAACATTTCGTTGAATCCATTTATGACAACTTGATTCATCTACAGCTATTACCATGAAAAATGATAAGCTTTACTCTATACAATTACAATAAAAATGTGTGGAAAATCATTGGAAAATATCCTGATATTACACTTTGAAATATCCAATGACTTTCCACACACGCTGAGATTGACTTTTAGTTATAGACTCATAGTACATAGACTACTAGAAGCAGGGGCTACTCAACTAAAATTTCTCCCTGTAGTGATGCACCCCTATTCGGTTATACGGATAGCTGTATTTGTTATTGTTAGGTTACTTTAAATAGACATTATGGTGAAGCTAATATTCGATGATTGCTATCTACTATATTAGAAATTGTTGATGACTAATAGTAGCCAGTTGACTAATTATGGTACAAGATTGATGTAGCTAGAAACACTGTAGTTGTTAAGATGCCCTTCTCCGAAAGGGCCTAGACGTTAATAGAAGAGTAGTGATATCTTAAGTAGAATAATTTCGACTGTAGAAAATAATAATGTCCTATTTGAGAAAATTATTTTAGTTTGATGACTCATGTCTGATTGTACAGTAAACTGTATATTGCACGCTTTTTTGTTTACTGGGCCCTACTAGTAGGTTCACAACATTGGCGCATCATGGACAATCGGCTTAGGGGATATTACCTACCTGCATTATTATCCCAATGTTCGGTCAGTATTAGGTCTTGCTTTCTTAGGGTTTAATAATTTATGGTGATGACAACAAATCCACCAAATGTCCTTCAGTGCCAGGACATCTTGGAAAACGTCAACTACAGTTGAATTCTATGCATTCTAGATCGGCCAAGGGTTCCTTTACCTTAGACTACTCGAAACACATCGTACAATATGCATTATTCTACCTATAGCATATTAATTACGGATATTCTACATAATATCAAGTCTATTTTTTGGATAGAACAATTGAACATCAGCCTTTTAGCACCTACAGGCAATATTAATCCCTCCACTGAGTAATGAACTACGATATAAACGGACGTTATTAAAGTCTCAATTTTGCATCAAGCAACATGCTAATGCAATCGTTTCATTTTAGACTTCAAATAATTTCAATATCCATAGAAAGGAAAATATTGGTGGGCATGGCTGTATTATAGCAGAACGGAAATGACTAAATTAAAAGTTCAGTCTACTTATCAATTCATTAATTATGGCGCAATAACGAGCGAGATCGCACTGTTAGGGTTATCTACCTTTGAGATGATAGACATAAGCAATATGAAATAGCATTCGTAACTCGATAGACCACTTAATATAAAAAAGAAAAATTGGATTCTGACTAGTGGAATGCTAAAGTGAATAAAAATAAAGTTGTAAAATCATCAAATGACTCGTCTCTGTAGTAATCATAGTTATTGCCAATGATTTATTACGGAAACTCTTCCAAATATCGAATATTGGAACTTTTCGGAAGTACAATGTAGCGAAGCAAATGCAAGTTATTATTCATTATCTATGAACGTAGATATATAATAAAATTCAGAAAGAGAGTAATGAATGAAAATTCTTCAATTCAATACGTTATATAATACAGACTCTTGCAATCATACTATTAGCCAAATATGCTACATGAAGATAGATGATAAACATCAGTAAATACCGCATGATGATTAAATCCTATGCATTCACATTTTCTTTCTTAATATATAAGCAGAGATTGTAACATAGCTAGTTGTGATTAAGGTTTAACAATTTTGATTAAATTACATTAAAAATAATCATAATAATTACAATATCGCAATCGGAATAATTGTCTTAATCCTTTGTCATTGGTGCCCGTTGTAAAATATTAAAACCGTCATATAATATTACGAATGCCAGTTAAAATTGTTATTAACAATATACATCGTGTGCTTGCTTATTTATACTACTGAGATATTGGTGTAAGCCAATAAATTAAATTAAAACTTAAATCAAGAGAGAATGGCGCTATGTTAGTCGTGGTGAATTATTCTTGATGCGTGATGCAGCGTTAAATAATAATTGCTCCATAATATGATTCCTAATATCTTCACTTATCGAATTAGCTGGCATTAATATCATGTCAGCGATACGACTATTTTCTCTCACTGCTTCCAATAAATGACGACCCCCTTCATCTCCAATATGATTGGAATCTAAATCGATGGATGAAATTGATTTATTATGCTTGATTCCATCGGCTATAATTGCGGCACCTTCATCACCTAATCGATTATAATCAAGTGATAAAGTTGTAATTGTGCTATTAACTTTGAGTGAATCGGCAATTGCTTTCCATCCATTCGGTCCAATTGAAGGATTACCACTAAGATTTAAGGTTGTGATAGATGGACAACTTACTAACAATCTAGCAATGTCTTTTGCACCGGCATCACTTATGTTACAATCACCCAAATCGATATGATTAAGATTAAGTTTTTCATTCATCCCTTTGCTACTAGATTCCATTGATAGTTGGTCGTTTGAATTTTCAACGCCACCTATTTCTATCAATCCATCAACAAGATTTTTAACACCTTCATCTTGCAACGGATTTCCATGCAACCTATTATTACAATCAAATTGCAATTGAATTAGCTGTTGTACTGGTCATCAATTCCAGTCTATCAAAGAACGAGGATTAATTTGAACAAGTAGAAGCGCTTTACTAACATTAAGATTTCTATAGACGGTTGTGAGCGAAGAACTGCAATAACATGCTTTCCACCTTCAGGCCCGATACGGTTCAAATTTAAGTTCAACATCTATTTCATAAAGTCAATCGAAATCAATGGATGGAAGTCATAATCGTTTTGGACTTTTTTTTAATTTTACGTAAAGATGATTAAAAAAACTGCATTCTTTCACATTAAAAATAAACTTAAGTCATTTAATATCATTAGTCAGTAGAAGTGATATAAAAACTAGGGATGATATTGATATACTGTATTGTATTTTTAAATATGGTTTGTATTATTGCTGGCTATATTACTTACTGTTATATTAGCTGAAGATTTTTGAATTGATTCCGATAACATCTTGAGACTTTCATCATCGATATTGCTATTGCGAACAGTAATAGAATCAAGGCTTTCTTTCGTTTCCACCATTGTTGCCAATTCACTTATCTAATTTGTAAAAGTTGAATGTGCTACTATTAGCATGATATTAAATAGATTTCTGATGATCACTCTTAATTAGAGATACGCACTTGATCATGGGTTAGAGAAGCACTGACTAGATCCAGTCCTTGTTTCTCTTCGGCTGAGCTAGTTGTATTGACTGTGGAAAGATCAAATGAATTAGACCTTACTAATACCAATTTATCATAATCAGTAGAGTGCACATCACACTGTTCGGTTGCTTACCTTCATGCGCGCCATTGGCAATATTGCTTTCATAAGCATCATCATGTTCGTTATGATAGCTTTCGTTACTTGATTGCAAATCATTAGCCGAGTATCCAGTATCTTTAGCTTCTTGATCACTGTTACTGTGTATACTTTCCCGATCTTGTTTGTCGCTACCGATATCAAGAGTTGGGCTATCCGTTGTAGCTCTATCTTTAATATTATAATTACTATCATAGCTATCAATGTGGATCTCTGGTGGCGGATTGACTCCATCTTGCAAGTCTGCATTATGAGTTGTAGTATCCTCCGCCGCCAACAGTTCCGATTCAGATTCCCTATTCTGCGGCGGATTGATTGATTCATGATCACTCTTATCTTGAAGTTGTTGATGTTCGTCAGTAGGATCTGTTGGAGAAATTTCAGGATCCAATTCCTTATCTGATATCAAATGTTCAGAACCTTCAGTTACTTTATTACTATCTGCTACGTCTTCGTTAACTTCTAATGTATTAGGATCATCAGAATGATGGACTATGTCAGAATTCTCCATTATATCATCAGATCCTTGGTCATTCCTTTCTTCGTGAACCTCAAATTCAGTTGTTTCACTTAAGTTGGTGGTTTCGTTCTCGTTGTAATGCTCATCTACATCTTGATCATGAGTTCCTTCGTCGTTGTCATTAGCGTTATCCATGATTTCTTTATCGTGATCTTCAGGTTGATCAGGTGCAGTTTCATTACCAACATAACTCGGTTCATCTTGCTTAATTTCTTGCTC